TTCTTTAAATATTTCCACCGCCTTATTCCTTAACACCGTCCAACTACCGGCCACCACCACCTTCCTCAACTTCCGGCCATCGCCACCTTCCGCAAACAGTAAGATAATATTTCTTGCCAAATTATTTTTTTAAAATATATTTATTTACTCATTTTGGAAAAAAAAATAATAAATTAAAATTTGCATTTTTTTAAAAAAAAATTGAAAATATGACAAATTTATAATTCAATTATCGATAAATTTAGACACTAAAATGACCTGATATAGTTATGGGCGACCCTAAACCTAACACGACTAAGTTTCCCAAATGGGTCGTCAATTTTTTTCAAATATCGAGTATAATTTGGACAATTATGTCATTTGACAAAAAGTTTTCTATAGAGGAAAGATCTCCCGAGATTCTTATCTCATTCCATTCTAGTGGCTCAACCAGTACCTATTGTGCGAAAACCCAAAAATCCATAGTTTTCTGGCGAAATAAATATGGACTGAACTACTTATTGATATAATCACAGTTAACATCACCGTAGTCGGACTATCAAATGCGAAGTCATAAGAATATTACGAGTCTGACCCTTTTGCAAATTTAGCGAACTCCTTTTTCGTATAATAATTTAGTGGTAAACCTCTCGTTCAGTTTTTATCAAATTATGGGACAATTTGATGAATAAATAAATAAATAAATATGGTAAATAATTTTTTTTATAAAAAAAACAAATTCAAATAATTTCCATTTTTAATATAATTTAGACATCAAATGTAGCCAATAAAATAAAATAAAATAAAATAAAATAATTGTACAAAATTATGAAGTAGCCGCCCCATTAAAGGCCAGCAGCCATGACCAAAAAATGCCAAATTAAGGAATGCCATTTTTTACACGTGAGAAAATCCATTAAATAAATAAATAAATAAATACAAATTCCATTAAAAAAAACATTTATTAAACGACAAAATGGCAAGAACTCTTTCTTCCCAAATTGCATCTAAGATTGAACTTCTATTAATAAATTAAAATTCACTAATTTTTTTAATCTAATAAATTCTTAAATATTCAATTTTGTATTTAGTATAACTCCGTTGAAATGTTTACAGTAAGTCGACGTAACATGATTTGAAACAGTATGATAATAGTGTTTTATCACGTCCACTATGACACTAGAATAAAACAGAGGTACATAAATGAACTGAGATGCTTAAAAGAATTGAAAGTTGCTACTTATGAATGAGCCCGAGCCCGAGTCGCGACACACATGAACCCACCAACAAGGTTCAGATGTTTTTCAGTGACTCAATTTAGAAACTTCATAGTTAAGCGTGTTTTGTATGTTGGGTGACTTATTGAAAACTTTTCTTAATACATGTAAGTGATGACAAAATATACTAGAACTCATGTTGGTTCTGTAGTGATAATCTTTACTCTTTAGAAGTAAAGAGTAAGTAATGTGATCATGTCACAGTAGATGAATGTCGGGACCATTAGATATCGAATCCTGGACATAGGCGTTTCATTAACCGTTCTTCCAACATTCTAACAAATATCTAATAATTATTAAATATTTATAAAAGGTCGAGTAATATATTGAAAAAGTAATGGATTGTTTTCCATGCAAAAAGCATGGTTTTGAATTTTTTTTTGTGGCACATTGGAGGATGAAAAATTGTCTCTAGTTTTGGGTACAATAATGTGACCCTAAGTCTACCCATAATCAAACTCTTTTCATATAGTCAATATTTCATAATTGTAAAGACTCATTTAACCGGTTGGATCGGGGCCAACAAAAACCCGCTTCAAATGGGTGAAAAATCTCTATTTAGATGAGGAATGGAGAAGGGAATGAGGAGAGATTTCTCCCCGTTAGTTAATCTGGGTCGAGGACGAATATTAGATTCTCGGTCTCGGTTCCCACCTCCGACCCTACCCTGCCTCACTCTACTTACGTAAATAAAGAACTTGATCCACACGAATTTCACAAGGACGAGAATTGAAATTGTGGACACGGAGGGAACGAGAAAAGCGTCCTAGAAACAAAATTTTAAAAGTATTTACCTCTTCAAAACCGTCAAGTTTAAATCTTAAAATTTCCGACCGAACAAAAAACACTATTTAGTTACAATTTTATCCTCGTACTTCCATCCATCCATTCGAAACTATTGGCTTAGCTGAGTGATTTCCGGGAAGAAACACAAAAAGTTTATTTATTTATTTATTTATTTGAAAGAGGGTTAAATAGTCATTTCACATAGAAAAAAGAAATCCTATAATATTTATTCGAAAAAACAAAACCCCCTCTTTATTTCTGGGAAATTGCCCAAATATGTAATTGCAAGCGACTGGCTATAAAATCCCTCAAACGCCTAACAACGTATGGCATTCCCTTCCGCCACAGCCGCCGCCGCCGCCGCCCGTCGCAGTTCCCTTCCAAATCCAAATCTCCACTTCTCTCTGTTAAATACAAAAATCTCTGCTTAATCGATGAACCGCCGCCGATCGGAATCGGAAACGGAAACGGAAACACCTACCTCTCCGACCGCCATGGGCTACCCCGTAGGCTACTCCGACGTTTGTATCCCGAACGCCTTCCTCCATCTCCTTTTCTTCCTCGGCTATATTCGAAGCCTCATTATTTCAATCTTCCGATTTCTAGGGCTTTTCGATTTTCTCGAATCCGCCATCGTTTGCCCCCAAAATCCTCCTCCCTACATCTTCCACGATCGATCCGTATCGCCGCTCCTCATCGACGAATTCGTCCCCGTCGTCAAATTCTCCGACATTGTCGTCTCCACCAGAGCCGGATTTCCGTCGGAATGTTGCGCCGTTTGCCTCTGCGAGTTTCAGGACGATGAGGAGCTTAGGTTTCTGAAGAATTGCAAACACATTTTTCACAAGAAATGCTTGGACCGATGGATGATTCGCGATCAGAGAAGCTGTCCTCTCTGTAGAACCCTAATCGTGCCGGAGGAGTCAATTCCGCCGCTCATGGATTTTCCCGGCTGCTCTGAGTTTTTCGGCGACTATAACTAGATTGCCTTTTTTTTATTAACCAGAAGATTGCTAGTGGTTATGTAGATAAATTAGATTTTATTTCCTAAAAATTAAAATAAATAAATAAATAAATAAAATTGTGAATTTCCAATATTTAAAATGAAATTCCATTTAAATATTAATCCAATTTTTTTGGATCATTGAAATAAAATAATTAGTTTATGTTCTTTTTAATTCTAATTCTAATCCTAATACTAATCATGTTAATTTTATTTTTATTTTCTTTTAATTAATTAATTATTTATTTTTGTCACTCTGTGATTGAACTCACTAGATTCAAATAAGAGAAATTAAATTAATATATTATATAATAAATGGACCTAAAAATTTAAATTTGAGGATTCGAATAAGATGAGAAGCATGCTATTCGATAAGCTTGTTGCACAAAATCACATATAAAAATATTATAAGGTTCCATTTGGCTCTTTCTTCCACGTTTTCTTTCAAACAATTTCATTGCTTATAACAGTGGCAAACTCGTGGGGTTCATGTCATTTACGCTGAGTTTCGTATTTTTATTTGCTAATCTTTGTTCCCCGTCCCAGTTTTTTTCTCAGAGATTCCACATTGGTTAGCTGTAGGCTTGAATTGTTACAAATTGTATTAGAGCCAGATACCAAACGGTATGTCAACGAGAACACTGGTCCCAAAATGGGTGAATTGTGAGATCTCATATCGATTGGAGAGGGGAACGGAACATTCCTTATAAGGGTATGGAAACCTTTCTCCGATAGACCCGTTTTAAAACTGTGAGATTGATGATGATACGTAACCAGCAAAAAGGGACAGTATCTATTAGCGTGGGTTTTGACCGTTACATCTTCTCTCTCCTCTCTTTCCTTCTTCTATTCTCATTTCAATTAGTACTAAATTTTCATATTGTATCGAATTTTTCCAACACGAACATAACTAATAATAAAGTGAAAGATTCGAATCTTCGTCTTTTACGATCTCTTCTTATAAAACAATTTTTTAAAATACAAAATTAAAGTTAAAAAAGGTATAATATGGTTGTAAACCCTAATTTAGTGAGGGTATATTGGATTTGCAAGCCATTATTTTGCCTTTTATGGTACTTTTGAAGGGCAAGGCATTGGGTGTGAAGGCATGAAGCTTCCACTTCATTTCTCCGGTGTTTGTGGATCTTGTCTCTATTATTTCTCAAATTAATTTCTGCTCCAATTATTGCTATTTTTTATTTTTGTTAATAGATTTTATATGATAAAAACAAATAAAATATTGATTTAAGAATGGATGGCAACTAATTTATGGAATTTCCACGTCATTCATAGTACAACTTGCATAATCTTAATCAATAATCACACCATTGGGCCAACAAAATTCTACCAAAATAGCATTAATTTAAAAAATTTATACCTAATTTATTATATTTTTTTATTTCCTCAAATTTTAGAAACTAGTTTTAAAAAATACTTTCAAAATTTCAAACAAAAAAACTAAAATACTATCAAGCACAAGGTGATTTTTTAATTTTGGATTTAATAAATCTTCAACTTAACCTAAATATTATCCGTTTATCATCTTAATAGAATTAATGTGTGAGAGATCTCACATCGATTGGAGAAGAGAACGAAGTATTCCTTATGTGTGTGTGCAAACATCTTCCTAAAAGACATTATAAAACCGTGAGGCTGACAACGCTATATAATAGGTCAAAACGGACCATATTTGCTAGTGGTGGGCTTAAATTGTTACAACACTGAACGATGTGTCAACGAGAACGTTGACTCTCAAGGAGTACACTGTGAGATCCCACATCAGTTGGGAATGAGAACAAAATATTCCTTATAAAAGTGTGGAAACCTCTCATTAATAGACACATTTTAAAACTATAAAACTAAAAATAATACGTAGCAAGTCAAAATAGACAATATCATTTATATCATTTATACAAGAGAACAAAAGTAAACAAAAGTAGAACTAGATTGATGTCAAAGTAGTGCAAGTGGGGTAATGAATGGAGGTGTTGATCCATTACTCTCTCTAACAAGGTTGGAGTAGGTAAAGACAAAGACAGACAAATCATGGCTTCTCCCACTCAGTTTATCTCTCTCTACTAAAAACACACAAAAAGGTAAATCATGGTGAGATTCTTGATCTTCAAAATGGATATGGATGCCTCAAAAAGCACAAAGAAAAAGTATCAATTGTCTTCTAACTTTGTTTAAACAATGAAGGATTCCCAATCTCACTCCTTTTAAAGAGAATCATAAAAGATCTGTTCGAAAAACTAACGAGAAAGTATCTTTTTTTTCTATATAAAAATAAAGGATACGGATTAAATTAATAAAAATATTCTTAAAATTTATACCACTTAAAACTTTCAAAATATCTTTTTAATTTTTAAATATTTCATTAATATCTTTCCATATTTTAAAAAACTTCAAAAATATACTTACCGCTAGTAATTTGTTTAATAAATATTAACACTCTTACACTATATAAAAAAATTCAAAAAAATTCAAAAAAATTCTTACGTTTTATATATGGATAGAAACCGTCGAACCTTATAATGTTAACTTTGAAAATTCATAAGTATTTTTTAATATGGTACTAATGAAAATAGTATTTTTGAACTTTTTAACTTGAAATTTTAAATCAATCAAAAGGTATTTTTAAATTTTTTAAAAAAAGTTAGTTATTAATGACGCATTTGAGAAGGTATTTTTGAAACACTATTAAAGTTAAAAAAATATTTTATGAAACCTTTCCAAAGGTTTGAAGGTATCTTTTAAACAAAATATTAACATTTTCCATCCAAAATTAACGGTAAGAATATTTTTGAAACTTTTGATAGTTTAAGGTTATTTTTTAGACACGATACAAACTTTAAAAGTATTTTTATTAATTTAGTATTTATATCAATTTCAAACTTAAAATAAATCTAAAGCATACGATACTTCTAATTGATGTATAAACTAATGGCTACGGTTGGATTTGTCAATTGTCATTGACAATCTACACTATAATGTCACATTCATAATTTAATAACATGAGATATCAGATTGAAATGGCTGACCTGTCTTTGCCAGTGCCTTCAATGCTCCACCATTCATCTATGAGCTCAACCAATTTGAAATTGTCCTCCAAAGTAATCAGTGGAATAGTCTCCATCACCTTTAAAATGAAATTACAATAAAATTAGGAGGGAATAATAATAAAGGGTGACTAAACAAGCTTTTAGTTTTATTTATTTAACTCTTATAAAATCTTCCAAACAATAATATCGAACTGATATGGGGAAGTATTTAACTCAAAAGTTTAAATCTCCATGTGTTTTGGAGAGTAGAACGAAACATTTCTTATAACTGTATGAAAACTTCTCACCAGACACTAGCAAACACATTTTAAAACTTTGAGAGGAAGTCGGAAGAAAAAACTCAAAGAAGACAATATTTGCTAGTAGTGGGCTTGGACCATTACAAATGGTATCATAGTTAGTCACGAGACAGTGCGAGACACTAGTTGGAGTAGGACTAACCCTCTCCATAGTAGACACGTTTTAAAAACCGTGTGGCTGATGGCTATACATAACGGGACAAAATAAACAAAAAAAATAAAAAATAAAAACTTTTGGAAATACCTGTTATCAAATAAAAATATGCCAAAAGTTCAAGGCAGATGATATAACTAGTTTAGAAATGAAACATCATATTTGGTTACCTAGAAAAAGCCATCTAGGGTGGATTCAAACCTTGCAACTACTTCTAACATTATTTGCTTAATGGAACAGTCATCAACAGTAATGCCTTGAAGCTAAAAACTAATTTGAACAATGCCTTCTATCACATACAGATTAGCCAAGACAAGACGCAAGATAATAAAGATGACGAGGGGTACCGATGTTGATAGCTGCCAAGGACCGTCGAGATTGTCTACAGCAAATCGATGACACTCCCTCTCTCTACAAGTGATTTTATGGGCTTGTAGCGAATAATGTGTAATACATTGGCCTCCATCTCAAAAGGCTCCTCTCTGTAGAATTTGATAACTCATTGGGTATATTTTTATATATAAGAGCACAAAAAAAAAAAAAAAAAAAAAAAAAAAAAAAAAAAAAAAAAAAAAAAAAAAAAAAAAAAAAAAAAAAAAAAAAAAAAAAAAAAA